TTCCCTGTTCTTCCCTCCTTCTGACATTGCTGCTTTGGCTGAGAGGGAGCCACCATTTAAGCAAAGAGGCTGATGCTCCTTTAGGATTTTGGCACTATTGACTTTGCCTCATCCATCCTGGCTCAAAAACTGGCTTCTCCCATTGCGTCCATGCATCACCTAATTGTCTCACCCTAAGACACAATTACTTGGAACGGTTGAGCATTAGACTAGAACAGTGAATCAAGCTCATTGATTGCATGTATTCACACCAGATCCTCTAGCTGTAGCTGGACTGTTGGGTCTTTCATAGAAAATACATTAAACAGCGCTGGATGTATGTGGATCTCATAGAAAGAAAAAATGGGAACGGGGTGGGCTGGAAAAGCAGTAGGAAATGGAGGGTGGTGAGAAAAGGAAGCACTGAAAAGAAAGGAGAGAAGTCACTTGAACCCTCCAGTGTCTTGGCATCTCCTATTCAGCTTTGTCCTAGGAGCAACACAGCGCAGTGAAAGGTGTCCTGCTGCATTACCTGCGAACAAGGACAATGGGATCTATCACTCCTTTGCAATGATAAATCCATGGAAGGATCCCTTGCCCTCCAGCTCTGTCTCCTGCTTTGCCTTCGATGTTCATAATTCACTGCCTTCCATACCTTGCCTGACTGATGATAGCCACGATAGTCTGTGTCAAGCCACTTGTGCCCAGCCCAGGTCTTGCTGGTGGAAAGCAGCTCCACTCTCTTCTGAGTCTGCTAAGCTTTGCAGAGAGTAAATTACAGCTAGGACCAGCTTAGCTTGGTTCCCAGTTTGGCCAGGAGGGTCCTCACTGTATCATCTGATAGAAATGTTTCCTGTGAACAAGAAGGGCCCCAGAGTGAGCCTCCGTTATAATGCTAGATGCACATACACCAAATGCATCCAGTGGGATGACGAGCTGTGCTAGCCAGTTCATTTCCTTCCAGTGTCTGTTCTTAGGTGCTAGAAACATCTGGTTGGACTAATTCCAAGTGTAATCCACATTTGCTGCAGTGCAATTGCAGCAGATGTCCAACAAGCCTAATGCTAGTAAGAGGTAATGCTAGCCTCCAGTCCAAGCTTCTCAGATACAATATTAATTATTTGGAAAATAATAGAGCAGCGGGGGTACTAAAATAACATCCCTCTTCTGGGGTTGGGAATAATCCTACTTTATATAGATCAGTTCCTTCCCTTGACTAAACCCGTACTATCACTTAATATACATATTTAATAGAGCTTGTGCTGGGTGGCCTCTTTCTAAGAAATCAAACTTCCTCTTTCTAAGGAATCAAAAGGTCGCCGTCAGCCTAGCACGAGCCATCTCTTACCCAGTCCTGGAAGGTCTCTGAGGGAGGCATTCTGCGAACTCTGCAGATGAATCAGTAATCACATATAGAAGAATAATTGATATTTCTGTTGTTAATCTCAGGCCCAAGCTAACATCAGTTGGTATCAGCCGTGGTCTTGACATTGGCTTGAAACGCCATTAGACCAGACCGCAGAAAAGGGAAGACATAAGGAAGGGGTGGATGTTGAATAGCTTGCTTGCTAGTAATGCTGGGGTCCTCCAGATGCTTATGCCATGAAACCTCATTACCTATTTAGATGTCACTTGGCATTTGTACAATGCTGCATTTTGAAGAGGCTGGGAAGTGCAATTCCATCCTGATCTTTGTCTGTACCAGCTTATGGTTGGAAACATGAGATTTGATTTCTCTTACTGCCTTTTCTTCCTGTGGTTAGTGACCACAGGAAGCAAGAAGAAGAAGAAGGATCGTTAGTGGATTTTGAGTTCCCCATGATGTTGTTTAGCTGTTCTCTCTGCATCTTACATTACAAGACAGAAAGATTGCACAGATCCTCCCAAGTGCTGACAGCCCAGTGTAGCAACTCCGTGGTTTGCTGTAAGGTCTACAGTGCAGAACTGGTGCTGTTGCCACCAAAAGAAATGCCCCCAGGAATTCACCTTGTGCAGGGGCAGAGAAAATCCATGCCCACAGCACATATTCCCCATTTTCTCTCCCGTGTACCCAGTCCCTTAGCCCTCACAATCCCTCCTCCTGAATGGAGACGCCAGCCTGGTCCATCAGGGTAGAAACTCTGCTTTCTCTGTCTTGATTCTTGGTTCTTCTAGCCCAGTAGCTGTGACCATACATCCTCACTGTGCTAAGAGCCATATGAAGATGTACAAGAGATGATTCCAGTTCCTCATGGTTATGTCGGTGCCTGACTGCCATGAAAATTACTGGGATGAGGTGCTTTTGAGAATCTGGTCCTTTTGGGTATGAAGTGGGGGTATAGTCCATGTGCATTGGGTGACTTCCATCTCTAGTACCTATCTACTTCTGAATAGATGACTACTTTTGTATGGCCCAACTCCTTAGTCCCACTTGACACAGGAACTGAAGCCATCTGCAGAATAAGTACACACAATTCTCATTCTGAGTAACTCAAGAACACTGGATGATGAGCTAGAAATATGTAATTTCCAGAAAATTGAAAGCAAGCTGAAGTGAGAAGAGACACCCTCCATCCTATTCCTGATTTTATGCAGGCCCTGTGGTGCCCACAGCTGTAAAAATCATTGGTAGACCTCTCCATTGGAGATTCAGTTGTTAAAACCCCATGGATTTCATTGGGACCTGGGTCTGAATTGAGATTTGAGGCAGCGTGGTTGGCTAACAAGGCCCGTGGAGTGGAGGTTCGGGTGGCTTGGGGGTTTTGAAGTGACTGGACTGAGGGATTTGGCTCAGATCTCTCTCTTTTACAGACCCAAATGGTCCCACATCAGATACTGAGCAGATATCATTAAAAAATACTTGAACACTGGCCCTACAACTGGCTCTGCACTGCAGGTTTAAAACATAAGCTTCTTGGGGCACGGACTATGTATCTGGTAGGTCTGTGTACTGCTGAGCACACTGATGGCTCTCATTAATAGATATTAATGAATGCATGGTGTGGTGCTGGATATAGGAGCCAGCCAGGTCCATATAAGCCAGGGTGTAAGAGCTGGCAAGGAAGAGCATCTGTTCCACGTGTGACAGATATAGTTGGGAGCAGGCCAAAGGGATGGAAGAGGGTGTTGTCTTCTCTTAGCAGCTTCTTCCAAGTGATTGCTGTGCAATGCATAAAGACCAAGGAGGGGTAGCCCATGCGGCCAGCCTCCGTAGGGTCCCAGAGGAAGACACTTCCCCTCCCCTTGGTGCCAGAACTCATTTGATTCTTTCAAGAGAGTCAGGGGAGAAAAATTGATGCATGTTAAACAACCATTTTCCATCTAACTGAGCCCTGTGAAGAGGTTCTGGTCTCTATTTTGCAATAGCTCCATTTAAGAACATAAGATGACAGGGCTGTGTCACTGAATCCAGTCCCCTGCAATTGCAGACAACCAGTTACCCAAGGGGACCCTAAAATCATGGGGAAACCCGCCTCCATGGCTTTAAGGGCATGCCCCAAAACACCAAGAACCCCCTGCAATATGGCACAGCTAAAAGGAGGGGAGATGAGGGCACTGCCAGTGCCCTGCCACTGCAATGACAGAGGAGTAATTGGTTAATATATACTCAGGGGATCCTCAGAAGAAGACTTTGCCCTGTGCAGAAATCTCTACAGTCTTTGCCTTTCTGACCCCAGGTTTGGCCCTCGGTATGACCCTGAGCAGAAAAGCAAGACCCTCTAATCAAGAACTCCTGAGCTTTCCACTTTCCACCAGGAGCATGAACACATCTCAGCCTTGGGATGATATTTTTTTAGCATGCAATCCTCTAAAATACAGGAACAAATTGAATCCACTATTTTAGAATTATGTAGGGAGAAAACTCCCTCCTTCCTATAAATGTACTTGGCTCCCAGAAATCGCAGTCTCTGCACTCATGATTGCAAAGCTATGGGCCTGAGAAACCAGCTATGTGGAGTCTGACTGTTTCTTTGCAGCAAGTTAAAGGGCGGTAGTGGGGTGTGTGTGGAGCATTCATCAGTTTGGCTGTTCAGGGGCATTACTGGAGGTGACTGCAACAGGTGTTTTTGCAGCCGTTAAACTGGAAGCTATTTTTCATTTGTTTGCTGGCCATGCTGTTGGTGTCTGGGAGCCTGAGTGCCAGTGAACCTCAGCCAGACCCCCCCGAGAGTGATTTATTCATTGCACAAATGCCGCAAACCCCTGGCAGGTCCTTACGGGAGACCACCTATAGGTGCAAGACTCCAGCTTGCAAATGCTTCTGTCTCAGCTCAACAGTGACATCTCTCTGACAGTCAGAGAACGAACACCCTAAGGACATTACAACTGTTCCTAGACCAGCCTTGCCCTGCGAGTAATTCAGGCCTGATAGGGGTCATCCTTGTTCCAACAGCACACAGCTCCCTACACCCCGGACCATATCCTCAGCTGGTATAAAACCACAGGTATCAACCAGATGAGGATCTTTCCCTTTGCAATTTGAACCCCCTATTGCAGGGTAGAGGGAAGGCACAGGCTCAGTGCTAAGAATATCGCTTCCCAGGTAGAGGAGCTGCAGAGCACCAGTTGTACGGTCATATTTTAGGGGCATTTAATTGTTGCATCATGATGCAGATTAAAGTAGATCGTGTTGGTTATTTAGAAACAGCTGCTGTGACTTCTCTCGAGTCAATAGCAGCCCCAAGTCCTTGATATAACTCGATTTGCCAGGCCTAGTTCACACCTGTGATTGTTCTCTTTTTGATTTGCTCATTAATTGAAAAAGACTGAAAGCCACATCCCATGACCCCATGCAAATAGGATCAGCATGAAAAAACAGTACACACCAAACATAATGAAAATTCCCTGATGCACAGCGTAAAACTTGTATTTGCATAACTGTATATGCCTCCATAAACACAGAACAGGTAACCAGATGTTCGAATAAAAGCAATGCAATGAGGTTTTTCATCTTTGAAAATATTGAGTATATTGGCTCTTGTCCAGGAGAGAAGTGGGGCAAATTCTGGGCTGAGTGTCTTTTAATACCAGTTCTCCTCATCTCAACATGTCATCTTTAAGTAAAATCTGTATTTCTTATTGTAGCTGTACAAGTTTTTTTTCAAGCAGAGCACCAGGCGCTTGTCACAGTCACAGGACTGCTCTGTACACCAGGACCCATACCCTGCAAACAAACAGAAATAGGAAAAGTGTGTGTCAGTAGAGGCTCTTTGAGCGGAAAGATGAACAGTGTCAGGAGTTGATAGAACATGGTCCCAGGAAATTATGGTAACAGATGCATTGTTGAAGAATACTTAACACTACCTATATCAGCAGTGGCCTTAGGGTTGTTGGGGCACTGGGCAAGAGAGGCACTTTCATCTCTAGGTCCCATGGAGCCCTGGTTTCTAATTGATACCACCATAATTAATCATTAATTAACACAAGTCGTTTTTTTTCTTCTTTAGCCACTTGATTCTAGGTGGTGGAAAAATTCCTGTCCCTGTTGGCTTGCTGGTCTTTCTAAATGCACGGTGCCTATGAGAATTCAGCGTACTTCCCTTTCAAGCACAAATCTCAAATGTCAGCCTTTGTCACCCAGAAGCATTTGTCATGTTTTTTTCTGGGTATATCAATTTAAGCACTGAGCAAAGCCCACTGGTGAGCAGTGACTGGAGTAGATTTGTTTTGGCAAATCCAGCAGTTAAGCGTGTTTATAAATTCATATTTAGTGAGCATGACTGTAAATGACCGTGGGAACTGACCGTGGTATGATACACATGTTGAAGGTATTCAGGGATGTAAACCCCAGCTGGTTGAGAGTTTTTTAGGGAAGTGGGTTATTTTTTGACGAATGCTGTTTCATTGAAAATACAATCATTTACAACAAAGCGTTTCAATGAATTTCCCATTTGAAAAACGAAAGTCTTGCAGTAGTTGACATGTGCTGTTTTGACCTCCGTAAAAATGCAAACGGTCCTTTTTGAGGTTGTAGCGCTATGTTGTTTGTTCGCTTTCTCTACTAGTGTCTGTTCACAATGCACCCGTGCATCTCTCCAGCTTAACTCCTGTGTAAATCCAGCTCTGTCAGACCCTCTTACTGCCACCTCCCACATCGTCCTGTGGATTTCTCTTGCCACCCTTGTCACAGCAAATAGGATTTATGCTGCTTTTCCCTTCTCCTGTTACTGGGACTCAATGTGGGGCTTTCACAGCTACCTTTGCATTGGAATTCTGGTCCGAGAAGAAATGTTAAGACACATTTCCTTATAATCAGCGAAGCCTGACTTCAGAAAACATTACAATTCAGGATGGCACTTAAGTGCACTCTTAAAGTCAACCATGTACTTAAGGACACTCTTGACTTTAGGGGCTGAATCCCCTTGGTTAAGCTAGCGATTGCCAATGACCTATTTTCATATTCTTCATGCATCAGAGCAAAAAACTCTGGCTTGCTGGGCTCAGGATACAGACTTTAAAAAGGCAAAAGGCAAAGCAGTCTGCTGATCTAGGAGCAGAAACAAAACCAAATAGACATCTTGCTAACCAGCAGCCAACTCACCACATAATACTGATCCATGCGAGGAGTAGTACTTATAGCTCACTTTTTTGGGAAAACAGCTATAATTCTTAAGCCGGCTATAGCAGGAGTCATGCATCTCGCAGCATCTGGGGAGAAACAAGACGTTAGCAATGAGACATACGGAGAGACAGGTTTAAAACACAAGTGAAAAACCCCTCTATTGACTCTTCACCAATGTACACAAACAGGATGTGTGTTTTGGTGCCACGGGCCAGGATTCTCCTCTCGCTTCCATTGGTGTAAATCAGGAACAACAGGGTGAAGTACAGTGGTTTAGGTTCTTAGTTTGATATACACACACGTGCATAAATGTGCATGCACACACACTCCCAACTGCGAAGGCTACATAAAAATAAGCTGAGCGCCCAAGGAAAGCGCAGCTATTATGTTTGTTCTCGTTGGTGTCCTTCAGGCAAGTTTGCAGAGCATGTTTCAGGCATCTCCTCCGATACCTTGCACAGAAGTTTCTGTGTTGTGGAGTCCTTATTGAAATACCCAATCCATTGAAAACTGATCTGAAAATCCAAAATACCTTTCCCAGAGACAGGCTGGCAGACAGATGTTCTAATGATGGCGTTTCCCTCTCTTAACCCTTCACACCATCATGGAAATCCAGAGGTTTTGACTTCAGCAGAGCAATCTCCCCATTTACACTATCTGAGAGTTGGGCCCATTGCATTTACATGATGGTTAGCGTTTTTGGGTAAATATAGATGTGGGTTACAATCTTCAGCATCACAAACTTTGATTTCTAGCAGTGCAATCAGTGAGAGCTAAGGGCCTAAATATCTTCCAAAATGTGGCCCTTAATCACTTCATGAGAGATTTTTCAAGGGATTTAGGATCTCAAGAGACAGGTAGATTCTTAGTGGGATTCGAAAAAAAGTGCTTACCACCCATTGATTTCCATGAGAGAGAAGTGTCTAGTCACCTTTGAGAATCCCACAAGGTACCTATGAATATCACTAAAAATCTGCCCTTAGGACCTTTAAATAATGTGATTGCTCACTAATGTTTCCAGCAGGGTTTCAAAGGCACTTACTTACCTGTCTGTGGGATCCTTTGGACGTCCTTTACCACCCAAACCACAGTAGCAGCCATAGAAAGCATAATCCAGTATGGCATTTTTCCCAGTGACTTGTTCAATCATACTCTGAAGCTGCCAGAGATTCCCGTGTGCCTCGGTCATGCCTGTGAAACAGCAGGAGGGAACTTCAGCGTTGGGAGGGGAGATATCACTTCTTCCTCTGGTTTATATTAAATCACTTTATTAGCTCTTTGGGGCTATATTTCCTTTCGGATCACCTTCTTTTAGATGCCTGGAGCGCCACCAGGCCCCATCACCCCACATGCCTCCTTTTACTTGTAAAAATAGGGATCATCACCATTGCTGTCAATCTCGTTACATGTCTCACGGAAGCAAGAGATGAACGGGACCTTTTGTCACTTTTCTCCCTAATGCACAAGTAGGAAGAACAGTTCTGTGGTCCAAAAGACTACCAGGAGAAGAAGTTTAAATCACTGGCTACGTCTCACTTGTTCTGGTGCTCATTCCTTTCCCACCCACTGTCACACCGAGCCCGAGCCCTCCTCTCATTTTACTAGCTCTGAAAGCCAGAACAATCTCCACCTGAGCTACCACAGACTATAAACTGCAACTTATTTTAGGGAACTATGAGCGCACATTTTCCCTTGGCAAACCGCACCATCGGTTGAGGCCACCTTCTCCCTCTTAAAGAACATGCAGGCCACCAGGATGGGTCCACTGGATGTTGCATGTGTCAGCTTTTAGGCAAAAGTAATTGGAGAAGGATAAGGAATTAGTGGGCCTGATTCTGATCTTCCTGATTTAACAGAGATATAATCCTACTGGCATCAAGGGTTTGACACCTTTTTTTGCACCACTCGAAGTGAGGTCAGGAACTGGCCCAGTACATTTACTGCACACTTACCGAAAGCAAACAGTACGCTGAGTGCAAAAAGATGCTTCATGTTTCTCTAGGACCTGGAAAAAGAAACAAGTACATGCTGATCTAGCATTCATTCAGGCAAAGGACTGAATGACAAACTGTTCTCCTGAGTAAGGGGGCAGTTTTGGTCATTACACAGGAAGCAACTGAAAGGCTTGCTTGAATGTTGGGAGCAGTGGAGCTTAATAACACTGATCCAAGACATTGTGGTGCAGCTTTAGCCTCCAAGCTTAAACCATGATGGGCAGCATTCAAAAGGATGGCATGAGACCTGTCTACTCTTAGATCCTCTCTGGGTTTTTGTGAGACTTCAGCATTATATCAATTCTCAGCATAGTATCAGCCCAGTGTGTGGGGGTGAATCTAATAAGATAGGGTTAGCATTTTCCATGTTTTCTCCCTTCTGGTAATGTGCTTTGTGGTGGTGGCTGGAAAAGGAGACAGCGCAGATGTGAAGAGGCTGATGCCCCTCTAGACTTCTGGCACCGTTCCTGGGAGTGGGATCTATTACTTCAGAGCAAAGGTGGATCAGCAGGGAAAGACCTCACTCTCTAGCTCTGTTTCCAATGTTCATACTGCATTGCCTTCCTCACCTTGCCTGAAGCCAGGGCAGTCTCTGCCAGGCCACCTGTGCCCACCCCAGATCTTCCTTGCTCCCTAGGATGTTGCCTTTAAGACTTCCTTGCAGCTGAGAAGAGGCTTAGACTGGTTCCAGTTTGGGATCATCTGATAGACATTCTCCCCATGGACCTCAAAGGCCCCAGGCAGAGTCTCAGCTATGGTGCTGGATGCATCCAATGGGATCTGCTAATCAGTTAACACCATTTTGATGCCCATTCTTAGGTGCTAGATGCATCGGGCCAGACTAATTCTTCTCGGACCAGTTGCAGTGTGGTTGTACCAGGGGCCAACCAAGCCCAGTGCCAGTAATGAGCGCCCCGTCTGCTAACCTCCGGCTACAGCTTCTCAGGTGCAGTAGTAGCCATTTGGAAAGGAACTGAACAATAGTAGAAAAATGCCATTGGCTGGTCTTTACTCACCTCTTCTGGGGTTGGGGGTAATCACTGCAGCTCCTTCTAATTCCTAATCTAACAGACTTGGTTTATATAGACAGATCTGTTTCCTCCCTTGCCCATAACAGTGCTGAGTGGCTACTATTTAATACACGTATTTAATACAGCATCTGCTGACTGGGCTTTCCTGCAAAAGAGAATTTCTCCTTTTTTAAGAACCCATTCTCCTTTTCTAGAAAATGAAAGGATTTCCCTTGATCTACAGCAAGGTATCTGTTTCCCATGCCCAGCTGTTCTCTGGTGGCCAATCTGCAAAGCGTCCGTAGATCTGGCAGTAATCGTACATAGAAGAGTTTTCCCCGCACTGAATTCTGTTCATCTCAGACCCAAGCCAACCCCAGTTGATATCAACCTGGCCATTGGCACTGGTTTGAAGGCCATTGGAGCAGACCCCTGAAAAGGAAGATAAAGGAAGGGTGGCTGATGAGTAGCCCTTAGGGCTGGGGTCCTCCATGGGATCCATGTCTTGAAACGCCCTTACCTACCTGAAGATCACTTGGCACTCATGTGTTTTGAAGAAGCTCTGCTGTCTAATTATACCTCAAAGGATGGCTGCTATGTAAAGGCCTTTTGCCCCAACTCCTTACAGTTATGACACAGGAACCGAAGCCTTCTGTCCATCTCAGGACCTGGATGGGAGGATGACCTGAAGAAGGGCATGGGGAGTCATTTGGGGAAGGGCACAATACATGATGCCTGATACCTTAGAATCACTGAATCATAGAAAATGAGGGTTTGAAGGGATGTCAGGAGGTCACATCTAATTCAACCCCCTTCTCAAAGCAGGACCAGCCCCAAGGGGATCATCCCAACCATGGCGTTGTCTATCTGGGTCTTGAAAACCTCCAAAGATGGAAAGTTCACAACCTCTCTGAGTAACCTGTTCCAGTGTTTTACTACCCTCCTAGTGAGAAAGTTTTTTCTAATATCTAACCTAAACGTGCCTTGCTGCAACTGGAGCCCATTGCTCCTTGTCCTGTCGTCTGCCCCCACTGAGAACAGTCCAGCTCCATCCTCTTTGGACCCACCCTGCAGGTAGTTAAAGGTTGTTATTAAATCCCCTCTCAGTCTTCTTTTCTCTAGACTAAATAAGCTTGTCCAACTCTTTTCCTGACTATACTGTTGTCCCAGTAAAAGATACCATAAAAATCCCTCACTTTTCATACACCTTGTGGACCATTATGGCCGCAAAACACTCCAACCCTTTGACTACATGGAAATATGTCATCTGTAACAATTAGCAGAAAAGCCAAAGTGAGAAGAGCCCCTTCTTGTTCTCTTATTAATTTCAACCAAGCCCAGTGGTTTCAAGAACTGTAGAAAATATTTCTGGAACTCCTCATTGTCACTCAGACAATTGGATTTCCCCCAGCTCAGACCAGAAGTATGGACTTCCCTCTTCTATTGCATGGCAAAGTATAGCTCAAGGCCAATGATGCCCTGAATGCCCCAACACAGCTCAGGCTGAGATAGCAGATGGAGATGGAGATGTTCTGTAACTGACTCTCATTATTATGGTGAAAATACTTTTTGATGCTCAAGGACCTAGGTCTGAAATGTTGTGTGAGTCTAGCATTATTTACAATTGCACTGGGAGGCTTTTTCTCCACTGGAAATCAGGGATCCTTTCTGTTTAGTGCTGTACATACATATAGTAAAAGACTGCCTTTCCATAGACAGGACAGACGAAAGTTTCCCTCTTGGTTACCAGTGCTTTCCTGCTATCCCATGGAAGGAATGCAGGAGATACTGATATTTGACAGGGGTATAAATTGAAAGCCTTAAGCCCTTTGTGCCCCACTGTATTGCCTGCAGGACCAGTTGTGTGAACCCAGTCCAGCTCAGGGAGTCACACTGGGCCAGAGTGATAGTTTTGGTGCTGCTGTTGGGGTGTAAAAGGCCTTTAAGGGGCTTCAGAAAATCCTCCAGCACGTCTGGATTTATACTGCATCCTGGTTTCTGTAGGAGATGGGGAAAGGTTGTGATGAGGTGGGTCGAATCTGGAATGGGCTTTCAAAGGAGGTGGTGCTTTCCCCTACCCTGGGGGTCTTCCAGGGGAAACTGGACAAGCACCAAGCCGGGGTCGTCGCTCTTTCCTGCCCGGGGCAGGGGGTCAGACTCGATGACCTACTGAGGTTCCTTCCGATCCTAACATCTATGACTCTATGGTTGCTAGGTTGGAAGGAGGAGGAACCAGACCATCCACTACTCTGGTCTATCCTTCACCAGTAAAATGGACCTCAAGGTCCCTTCTTGGCCACCACCAGAGGGGTGACTTTCACCCAATATATTCCATGACAGTCAGGACATATTTTCCCCCTGAGTCTTTACATTCTCTCTCCCTTTTTCTCCTTCCTCCCCCCAAAGAAAGATCTCCTGAGGGCTTCCAGCTGTGCCATTATTAATATTATTGTTGTCACATCAAGGTGGAGGGCAGGGCTCTGACCCGGCTGAACAGTTAATCAGGCACACCAAGGGGAAGCCTTCTCTCTGTGCTCGCACCAGGAAGCCCTAAGACACTGGCGATCATTTTCCAAATTCTTCTTATCAGTTGAAACCTAGTAGTATCAGTGCCCATTGGATGGGTCTGCACAGAGAGACCTTTGTTCGAAAGCTCCACAGGTGCCAGCACAGGGGACTTCCTCCTGCTCATTGCAAAACAGGTTTCTATGAAACAAAGCATAGAAGTCTGTGCCTGGGTCTGTGCTATAAGTTCTTAGTTTTTTATTTCACATTTACCCTATGGTTTGCATGTACACATCAAGGGGTAGGTCCTCAGTTGGCACGTATCAGCAGAGCTAGAGGAAGCTGCAGTATTCCTACGTGAGAGCCACCCTGTCCTCCGGTTGCAGGCAGCAGAAGCCCTGGCGCCTGAAAGATACTGTTTACTTCTAGGGAAAGCCATGTCCTGTAAATGACTGTTTCCAAGTGCCAGTATTAATACCCATCGGTGAGAATAAAGAGGATGGCATGGATTTCACTGGCCCTTTCAGGCGCTGTGCCCTGCCTATCACTGTGCAGCCGGAGAGACTGAAGAACATGCTCCAGAAAGCTGATTTCCAACTGCATGACACTCCATCCTGCTGGCTTAAAGTCTTTAAACTCACTTTCCATCCCAGCTTGTTTTCATCCTCTCTTAGGCCCTGTATCCACATTTTCACTGCTCTTAGATGATAAGGCCGGAGGGGACTAGAATGGTCACCGCTGACCTCCCACAGAATTTCACCTAGAAATTCCTGCATTGAGCACACCAACTTGTGGCAGAGCAAATTGTTTGGAAAGACCAGCTGGGCCCAGCCGATAAATTCAAAGGAAAGACACCCGATGGAAGATGGATGAGATGAGGCACTTGGCTATATCTGAGTGCCTTGCTCAGCCTCCAGAAGAAGACTTTCCACTGGCTCCTTTGGTTTGGGGACTTTCCTGCAATCAAGTAGGTTTCATCATCGGGAAAGTTCCTTAATATTCATTTGAAACTCTCCTTTGTTCATTTTCTCCTGCTTCTCAGTCCAAAGCAGTGCTACTACTTTTCCACCTGTGGCCACAAGAATGTGTGAATTAAACATGACTAGCCTGAGTGCTGCCAAAGACCTGGCACAATCATCATGTAGATGTGCTGGAGTCAGAGCTAAGGGAACAGGGGAAAGTCCCGGACTATTTGGGCTGGTGTAACCATGGGGGAATACATTTATATTTTAAAGCAGAACCCGTAAGAGGTGAGAGACTGGAATACCTGTTACGAGACAAACACACTGAATGCGTGAGTGGTGAGAGGTATGCTATACGTGAAAAGCATGCTATAGTCACTCAGATCCTCATTGCCATGGATTTGCATTTTCACAGTCCTGCATTTTGCACATTGGCTTCTGTTCTACTCAGGAGAGCACATAAAGCACCAGCAGACTCTCCCTGTTCCTGAAGAAGAGTGTTTGTACCCAAAAGCTTTCAA